ATTTCAAGTTCTGAAGCCTTTTTCCTCTCATTGAAAGGTTACTTGTTGGAAAAGTTAGTGTGTGAAATTGTTTAATGTGTTTCATCTTTGATATCACTTGCACTAGGAATCATTTTGACAATATGACTTTGTACATGTTTAATTTAAAATAAATGTCAAATTCTAAGCATTATAGTGGCTTTGATTTAAACAGAATGAGTCAATCATGTGTTTGGTGTTAATCGACCTGGAGTTGAAACGGTGGAAATGAAATTTTGTTGGATTGAATTTGCGCATTGTTAACTGCGAAGATGTTAATTTATGTATTTTCTCGTTCTTAACTGCAAATTTTCACAGATTGGTTTAATGATGAGCCCCCACCTCCACCTCGTATGTCTTTTTATCCACCATGCAGTGAAAACAGTTGGGCGGGCAATGTAACCTCAATGTGACAAGGGCATTGTAAACTTTGGGAATTCCTGTTTTATAAGTGCCACCTTGCAGGTAATTGTAGTCTTCTTTCCAGATTCTGTGGTCCACTTTAATTTGATTATCTTTGCTTCTTTTTAAATTCTAGATCCTTTTTCACATTCCCAACGTTTTGAAGTGGCTGCAGGCCTCAGATCACCTCGACTATTGCCATGCCAATAAGTCCTGTGTGACCTGCCGCCTTTTAAAAACCTGGCGGCAGCTAAAATCTTGCAATAAAGCAACGGAATCTATTAGGCCAGCAGTCTTTATTGCAGATGTGCGGGGTGTGTAAGAAGTGCTATTGTTGACTATTATTTAAAATTTTGCCTTCCACCACCTCAGTTTTGGAGTGTCTATCTTGTATTTTCTATGTTGGTCGGCTTTATAATACTTCTTATCTTATTCAGAATGGTTTCGGACACATCTTACTCCTGCTGCCTGCCTGAACTCTGGACATCCTCCACAAGAAGATGCCCATGAGTTCTTGGTTTTCCTCCTTAAGCAGCTGGAAGAGGAGTTCCTCAATGACTATGGAGCGGAAGGGTAAGCTTAAGAGGTTCTATTGATGGTATTGGTGTCTTAGGAAAGTACCACAAATGTTAATTACCTATCACTGTACTTGTGTTCCAGAATTGATTACATTAGCCAGCTTACAAACCCTTTAACAAGAATCTTTGGAGGATGGGAGTTAACAGAATGTATGTAACTTTATTTTCCAAGAATAGAAAGTATGTGTTATAACATTAAACAGATATCACTTGCTGTATATTTATGTTACTTTCACTTTTATTTCAGGTACATGCTCATCTTTTAATTGTGGGTTTGTCTCCCAAACATACTCGCCATTCACAAACCTACAATTAATTATTAGGGATGTTAGTATGATATTCAAGAAGCTGTCAATGGCTATCTGGCATCGAACCTGTTAACTTTCCGTTGTGCTGTATGCCAACAGGAGAATAGTAATAATCGTAAGCAATCTAAAGTGCACAGCACACCCAACACCCTCATACTGCAATTGCAGAGGTGAGTTATGTGGAATTGTGTAACATTGAAATTAATTTGGCAGGTTCAATTCCTCAATGTACTCTATTTCTTCTTTCAGATTTCAACCTGATGGATCAAAACTTTCTTCAGAGATTGATATTAATGAAATGATTTACATTGGCAAATAGAAACTATGAATTTATTGGTGCAGTGTTGCACATTGGAACATCAAGTGATTCAGGTCATTAGAATTGCTGCAACAAAATGCCCTGACCAGCAGTTTCGCATTTTCAATGATAAAGAGGTGTGTGTTTGCAATGGAGGTTTTATTGAAATTCTGTTATGACATCTTTGATATCTTTGATAGTGATCAAACACAGGTGAAATCAGGATTAAAATGTTTTCCAAAGGGCGTGTCTTTGTCAAAAAATGCATACGTTTTAATATACTCACAGAAATCAATTGTAGTGTATGGGACACCTACCAAGAAAAGTCCCTTTGTCGTAACAGACATACCGGGAGTAAAAACATTAGAAAAGGTATATAAGTTGACATTTACCTTCCAATGTATAGTAGATGAACCTCTGTTCCTTTATTAAATTTCATGTGGTAACTGCCCTTCTCTCCCCTTATCCGATACAGGGAGCTCACTGCTGTGCTGTTGCTACTGACAACCAAAGCTCAAAAGAAATTTCTAGTCTAACTCCTAACAGAAAAAGAAAAGGGCAAGAGGTTATCTTACCCACCGCACAACAGGTGTCAACTAATCTGTCTTCACATGACCGCATTGTCTCAGAAACCCACAGGATTGAAGAGGATGATGTGAGAAGTCCTCTCATATATTAAGTTTTGTAAATTGTTGCAGTTAGCTTTGTTATTATCTGTGGATTTTTCATTGTTGCAGGGGGGTAAAAAGCCAAAGCTGGGCTCTAAAGTATCAACTAAGAAACCTTTGTCAGTGGTTCCTGGAAGCCCATGTACCAAACGTGGCTTTGTGTCTCCCTTGATTATTAAACGCAAGAAGAGAACACAGCCTAAGGTGCATATCCATTCAAGATTACTACGTCATTAATCTGGTATTATGTTAATATAATAATCTTATGATATTTTTGGCATGACAGGTTTAATCAAGTCAGTCTTCAAATGATTACAATATTATTTCTCAAACCCACATGCTTCCTACAGATGATGAGTTAGGCTGTAAACCTCTGAGTCCTCAGGTATATTTTTGTATTACTGTAACTTTCCTGTCTCTGTATAACTGGAAAAGATATCAGGCAAACTGTGTTGCAGAGAGGTTCTTTACCCACTTTCGAGGCAAGTACGCCTCCATACTTTCCAGAGGTAATAAATTTACCTCCTAGCCCCGATGAGGACCCTCAGATTACTACTTTTTCTTTTGATGGGGATGGGGGTTTCCTACCTACGTCACAAAATTCTCTATTCACATTCAGTTCGCCCCTGCTCTGCTCAACCAGATCAGCAGGAACACGCAAGTGATGAGAATAGTGAAAGTGATAATCAGGATTTCAACTGCAGAAGGGTAAATTTCAAATCTGTTTGGAATGCATCAATGAGATGAATTTTGATCCTCATGACATTATTTTAAAATTTCAGGTGGTTTCATCTCAAGTCTTCTTACACGAGTCAAGAAGAATCTGATGAAGGAATTGATGTATTGTCACCAGATGTAAGTTTGGAACAGCAGTAATGAATTGGATGTTGATTCCTTGGTTTCTTTGTTTCCTCAAATTTCAGCAAAATTAATTTCAGGTGATTGTGCCCCCTACAAAAAAATTTCAACCCATAATTCTGACTGTAGATGATGTCCCCGATGCACTCCTGCCAAGGAAGGTTGTTAGTGATAATACCATAAAAATGTTGGAAAGGTGGTTGAAGTGCCGAGGTTTGCCGTTGAAAGCAAAAGATAAGGCTGAGCTGGTGGAGAGGTAAAGTTCTCTATTCATTAGTAGTTCACATTTCTTCTCTGTCGATTATCTGTATCATACCCTTCTCTTATTTTTAATGCTTAATACATAGAGTTGGATTAAAGATAGCTGGGGGAAAAAGCCATATATTAGACCTCAAATTAGACAAGGGAAAGTGGTATGAAAAAAAGCGTGCTGCCCTAGAAGAAGCTGCGAGAACAGAGGTAAATTTTCCAGGACTTTTATTACAGTGCGCCCTTTTCTTTCCAACACTAATACTAATGGTTACTTGCAGGTAAACAGCAGCCAGTCCATCACTCCCTCCCAACAAATTGTGGAATTTCCTCGCAGAGGTTGGAAGCCATTCCCCAGCGTGGAGATTCCTTGCATGTTTAACTATGGCAATATATATTTTTATCTAGTTGAGAGTATGCCATGTTTAGACAACAAGGATGAGGAAGATGACAGTGGCTGTGAGGAGGGAGGACGCACAGAGGAAGCAGATCCATTTGAAAAGGAAAACTTTTACATAAATGAGATACAAATAATGAGGAAAGGCCTTGCGCTTCCTCAAGAGCAAGAATGTTGGACACCTGGAGGACACAAGAGATGAAAAGTGCTACTATGTAAGAGGTCAAGTCTTAGCATCCTTCAAATTGGAGGTTCATGAAGTTCATGTGGCTATCTCATCGAGGTTAGGGAATGTGCAGCTTTGCCAGTGTGATTGTCTTGTACATGATTGTAAACTCAGCTGCAACACATACCATGATTTCTATTGGAATTGTTTCTTTTCCACAGAGTGCGAGCTGTGCAGACTCCAGAGGAACTCAGAGATGTTCACAACCCCAGCTAACTCCCGTGCTGTGGGCCAGCAGCTTAGCGCTCCTGACGTCACGAGGCGGCGGTCCGTACTGCCAACATCTGCCAAGCAAAATGCCCTACAACAGGGGGATATTCCCTTCTGGAGCGTGCTGCTTTTCGAATGAAGCACCTAGGAGGGCTGGGTTAAGTCCCGAACCGAAGCTGTTCCGCTCGGTTCGGGGTAGTTCGGGAGTTGAGATGTTCGACCCGGGC